ACTAAACAAATAAAAATGAATCAATTTTATTTGTGCACTATAGTAAAGGAGTCGTGACAGCTTAGAGGACTCTCCTGCAAAACAACAAAAACAAATTGAGATAAAATACCCTATGGATTATTATTATTTTTTAAATAGTAGATAATAATCTATATTATAAAGTCGGACGCCAAACCAGCATGGTCAAGGCCCAAAACTAATTCATAATATAATGTTAGAATTAAAAAAAAAAAAAAACATAAAGTGACACCTAAAGTTATTGCGAATTTTAAAAAAACACTTTAACTATGCGAGTGCCTTATTACCCCACAAAACTTTTAAATACCTTTATAAATAGACTATTCTGATCCTTTTTCTCCCTATGTTTGTTTTCACGCAAATGAAGCGCGTGAATGGAAACTTTTACTTCCAAAAACAAATTTAAAACGTCAAGTGTCAAATCTTTCTTTATTATTTAGTTACTTATACTTTAAATACATCATCTTCCCCAATTCTACCTCTTTTTGTTATTGTTGTGGCTTAACACTCCCTTGTGCAGGTGAGGGGAATCATCAAACAACAATCCCAATGAGCTCACTAAAAATTGATAATGAAGTTTTATTGATGAGTTGTTTTCTGCTCATTCACACATTTTGTTGATAGATGAGTAGCCTTAAACTCTTAAGGATGATGAAATGTATATGCGAGTGTCCTATTACCCCACAAAACTTTTAAATACCTTTATAAATAGACTATTCTGATCCTTTTTCTCCCTATGTTTGTTTTCACGCAAATGAAGCGCGTGAATGGAAACTTTTACTTCCAAAAACAAATTTAAAACGTCAAGTGTCAAATCTTTCTTTATTATTTAGTTACTTATACTTTAAATACATCATCTTCCCCAATTCTACCTCTTTTTGTTATTGTTGTGGCTTAACACTCCCTTGTGCAGGTGAGGGGAATCATCAAACAACAATCCCAATGAGCTCACTAAAAATTGATAATGAAGTTTTATTGATGAGTTGTTTTCTGCTCATTCACACATTTTGTTGATAGATGAGTAGCCTTAAACTCTTAAGGATGATGAAATGTATCCCTTACGAAGTTCTTTAATTTTGTACCAAAAAGTTATCAAATAAAATAAGTTTTCCACGTCCTAACATACCTAATAGTAAAAGCTCATTCAAAATGGACGAAAGAATTATAATACCGGTGATGGAGCTCCGGCGAAATGTCCAAGCAACGAGCAATGCTAAAATGAGCACCATAATGAACTTAACACAACAAAAATTCCAATTGGTAAGCTTCCTAACAATTCGAATTTGCAAATTAGGGTTAAGAATAAGCAAATTGGGGAAGTCTAGGTGAAGAAATTTAGATTCAATTTTTGGATAATTCTCAAAAATTGTCCAACGGAAATTTGCATCAAGTTTATACTATTGAAGTTGCAAGCTCAATATTCGGGTCGGGTTAAACCCGTATTTTATTAATATTAAATTAAAATAATTAATTAAAGAGAGAGTGTGCATCACACACATATTCAAAATCTGAAATTGATGAGAAAATCGGGTAAACTGGTCTATTTACAAAGGTATTTAAAAGTTTTGTGGGGTAATAGGACACTCGCATAGTTAACATGTCTTTTTAAAAATTCGAGACAACTTCAGGTGTCACTTTATGTCTTTTCTCTTAAAAAAATGCATTTCGTCATATGTGTGTGGGAGAATCATGAAGAAGTCAGTCAAATAATTAGATCAAGTTTGGAATTAATATGAAACATGTTTACCTTATGCCTCTGTCCACTTTTAATTGTCATATTGCGTTTTTCGAAAGTTAATTGAATTTTTAAAGTTAAATTAGATTACATTAATTCGATATTTTAAACAAAAAATCGAGATATTCAATAACTATACGAAAAGTACTATAAGTTGCAATTTTTTGCATATCAATATGATAAAAAAGTACATCGTAAAATGTTAGTCAAAATTCTTATAGTTTGACTCTAAAAAAGAAAATTATGACAATTAAAAGTGAACAGAGAGAGTACCAATATAAATAATTAGAAAGAATGTACTACTATATATTTTGAAGAATATCTGTAGTGCATGAATACGAGGTAGATTGTAAGAAAATTATTTAAATTTGTTAGAAAAAGAACACAAAATAACAGTATCAAAATGTGAAAGAATAGATGAATCACTTAAAAAATGTTTATTAAGTCTGCATTTGGAATTGCAATTTTGATTTGAGATCCCAAATTATAATTTCAATATTTTTTAAAAAATATAAAACTTGGCTCATAAGTTTATATTTGTAAAAAGTAAAAAATAATTATCATTTTAAAATGGCGAAATGGTCTGATGGACCCTTGTACTTGTATGCGTTTGTATTCTTAACCCTCTTACTTGACTCTTTGTCAACTGAACCCTTAAACTCAATTAAAATGAAATTTTTGAACCCCTTCAACCATGTGTGTAACTCACTCTCTCTAACATAAATGACATGTCATATCCACATCATATATATTAATGCCATGTCATAATTATTTCTTAACATTTTTTAATTATTAACTAAAAATGTCATTCAAATAAAAGATAAAAATTCTAAGTTTTCTATTTAAAATATAAACAAAATAATTATTTCTCTCACTTTTCCTCCACCTTCCTCAACCCACCACCACCAAACACAGAAAGAAAAAACAGAAATCCAAAAGTAATCTTTGAAATGATGAATCACTTTCCTTCTTTCTTGAACTTCAATTGAAAAGATAATTAGGCAAGCTAAAAAAATTGTCAATGGCTACAACAGGATAAATACAACATAAGAAAACAAGAATTTTTTTTCATTGATCTCCTTTCTCCTAATTCTTTTCTTCTTTGGAAAATGACTATGAAGCTCAAAAAGCCACAACTCAAACCCAGATCTCAAAACTAATATGAACGGACAATGTTTTATTAATGTTGGATCTTATGGCAGACTTTTGAGGCTCGAAGAAGAAGACCACCCACAATCAAATCCAGATCTCAACACACAAAAAAAAAAGAAACCTATGAACAGAATGAGCGGAGAACGCCACCGGAGCAAAATTGCCACCGAAGCAAAATCATCACATAACCACCATGGATGACCTATAACCACCAGAGCAAAATCAACCTTCTTGTTCAACATCTAAAACTTCCATTGATTCTGCTAAAACTCACTAAAACACTTAATCATTAACAAAGGTTCAATGGACAGAATGGGTGAAGATGCAGACGAAAATGGCGTCGCAAGGGACGCTGAGATCTGCACCATTTTCTCAGAACGTCGGAAGCCAAGGGAGAAGAAGAGGGACGGGTTGGGAACTTTAATTTGTTTTTTCCTTTTTTTTTTTTATTTAATTATTTTTAAAGCAAATTCATTGCTTTCACTCGCCTTTTTAAGTGTGAAATCACGCACTATAATTGAGTCAGCAAAATAAATGCCACATAAGCTGGGTCAATGGTCAGAGGGTTTAAACATCTCATTTTAATTGAGTTTAAGAGTTCAGTTGGCAAAAGATTAAGTAAAAGGGTCTAGAATACAAACTTATACAAGTACAAGGGTCCATTAGACCATTTCGCCTTTTAAAATTTGCAAATTAAGACTCATGATCGACGTGAAGAAATTGTCCTCTGTATTATGTGAAAGGATTATATTACAGAATAGTTTGGTTTCGTTCAAGTAACCGATCGATTCTAGTCGTTACAACTATTGTTCACTAGTAAATATTCATAAAATCACGTGAATTCGAAAGTTTGTTATTGAAAATATACTTTTTAGAAAAGGAACATGGAGATATGTGATTTATCAATGGGGTGCCTTAGGATGTTCTAATATCTTGTTTATGAACTATGATATGCTCATTTGGTAAGATTGTACATAAAAGAATTGAGAAAATTTTGATAGTTTTCTTTTCATAACTTGTGTGGTTTTCATGTTTATGAGAAAAAAAATAACCTGAAAAATCAAAATTGCATGTTCAAACAAAATTTCAACTTAATGTCAATCTGATTTCATATATCATGATTTTATATTGCATGTCCAAACATGCCCCACGTTTGAAATAATATAAAGCATTCTTAGCTTATACCTATTTAAATTTTAACCAAAAAATATAAAAAAAATTCCAATTTAAATAATTAGAGAGAATCTATTACTATATTTTAAAGAATATGTCATAATTTTGAAAATAAAATTAGAAAAAAAAATAGCTAGAAAAGTTCTTGCATAAGAAAATCATGGCACGAGCCACGCAAATCAAATACATTTTGGGTTCTCTCTCGTACATAAAGGATGTACCTTAAATAAGTCGAACGAATTAAAATATTTTATGTAGGGATAGCAATAGAGTTGGGCAAACTCGCATAAATTGGTGAAAATTTTATTCGTCCCGCATAGATTTGTCCCACTCGGTATAATTAGTTTATTTTTCAACTGAGTTTGACACAATATTCATAAAATTAGAAATCAACACATAATATTTATTTAATTGAAATATTCTATTCCAAGATTATGACATAGTAGCATATTCGCAAAAATAATAATCCAGACTATACGACTAAATAATTTACAAAAACGCAATAAATATGTTATATACTACTCCTCACAATATTGTCAACTCATAAGAATTGCAGAATATCTAAATAGGGACAATTAAATTGAAAATTAAAAGATAATGCCATATAGTGATTATAAAATAATGAGTTAGAATACTATAAGAGAATAAAGCTAAAATTGAGTGAAGAGTAAGCAATTGTTATTTTAAAAAAAAGAATATAGTGAAGAACGGAGGAAATGAAAAGAGTATCGTACTACTAAAAAGGGGAAAAAGGCCAAACATACCCTTAATCTTTGAAAAATGGTTTATAAATATCCTTCTTTATATGATATGGTGAGCTGGGAATTTTTAGAGGAGGCACTGGTAGGATATGGTTTTCCTACTAGGTTCATTCAATGGATCATGGTGTGTGTTACTTCTACCAAGTTTACAGTGAAGGTCAATGGTGAAGGACATGGCTACTTTGAAGGCAAAAGAGGGCTCAGACAGGGGACCCTGCATCACCATTATTATTTGTTCTAGTGATGGAATACCTTTCAAGAATATTAAAGTGTATGAGCTTAGTACCAACATTCCGATTTCATCCAATGTGTCAACAACTGCAGTTAATTCATCTGATTTTTGTTGATGATCTGATGATTTTCTGCAAAGGTGAAAGTAACTCAGTCACTAGAGTTAATGAGGCATTGGAGAATTTTAGTGCCACTACTGGACTGGTGGCAAATATTGATAAATCAAGTATTTTCCTAGCTGGTATGGAGGATCAGGAAAAAGAGCAGTTGATCAGATTGACACAGGGGGTATTTCCCATAAGATACTTGGGCTTGCCCGAGGTGGAGCAAGATGGAATGTCAAGTATTAATAGATAAGATTACCGAGAGAATCAAGACTACTTATGCAAGGCAATTGTCCTATGCAGGAAGATTACATGTGATTGTAGCAGTGCTTTTCTCCATTCATAGTTTCTGGAGATCTGTGTTCATCTTGCCTCAGAGAGTTGTCAAAGAGGTTGATAAGAAATGTAGGGAGTATCTTTGGGGGACTACAAGAGACAGGAAGAAGGTAGCATTAATAGCTTGGGATAAAATTTGTGTACCAAAGAAATATGGAGGTCTTAACATTAAGGGGTGTGGGAATTGGAATGTAGCTTCAGTGGGGAAATTGATCTGGCAGCTTGCTTTAAAGGAAGATTCGTTATAGGTAAAATGGGTGCATGAAGTCTACATTAGAACAGATATCAATAGCTGGAATCACAAGGCCTCCATGGATAGTAGCTGGTATTGAAGAAAATTGAATTCACTAAAAGACAGAATGAGAAAGTGGTATGAGCAAGGCTGCTACAACCTCACTGCAAAAGGGACTTATTCTATATCTAGGAGCTACATGACATTAGCTGGGGATCAAATGAAATGTGATGTTGCTGAGCTTGTTTGGAATAGAGTCTCTCCTCCCAAGCATAGATTTATTATGTGGCTTGATGTGCATCAAAGACTTCTAACGAAAGGAAGGCTAGCATATATGAATATATTTGTTGAAGATATGTCATGCTGCTTGTGTGATACACATGATGTAGAAACTAGCCAACATTTGTTCAAGGATTGCCTCTGGTTCAAATTAGCAAAAAATGAAGTACTCCAATGAAGTACTCATATTTTCATGAGTACATAGTACTCTATTTAAGAATTCAACATGGAGAAAATATTCTAGTCTTTTTTTTTAGATGAAAAATGTTTTAAATACTTTATTTAGTTTTATTGTATCATAAAAGTAAAATAAAAAAGATCACATAACTTTTCAATATAAAATGAATTTATGTGATGACAAAAGGAAATATTTTTAATTTCAAAGTAAATGAATATTTGCATTTAGGACTAAAACATGCTTAATGCACTTTAAGGCAATGCCAATATTAGTACATGATTTGCTTATTTTACACTATTATTTATTATCCAATATAAAATTAAACAAATAAAAAAAATATAATTATAATTAACAAAAGAAATGTACATTTAAAATATATTTTTTTTTGGAGGGCCAAAGACTTTACCTTTTCAATTCTAGAGAAGAATAATTGATTTTATAGAAGAACATAAAAAGGAAGAGAAGTTACGATATTTTTACTAATATCATGAATTTTGAGTGAATAAAAGTTGGAAGTTTAACCCATTTGGTTAATCCATATTTTTATGATACTCATATTTTATCCATATAAAACTATAGTCAAGTAACATAATTAACTACTACTTAATGTTAGCTTAGTTTTACAATTTTCTCTATAAAAAATCACTCACTCAACCCATTAAAATATGGACAAATTGAACGGGTTATCAAAATATGGGCTCATTTTATCGAGACTAGCTGTGATATTTATGTTGACAAAGAAAGCAGAAGTAGGTTGTGCTGGTTATGCCTTATTATTTGATTCATCTTGATTCAATTTGTTTTTAATTTAAATAAATTTTGAACAAATTAAATTTCTAATATAATTATTAATTTAACTAGCTCGAATTTAATCAATTCTGTCCATTTATCGCCCCTTATTATCTCTAGCACGCAATGGAACCGAATGTCTACCTTCAACCAACTTCCTTGTACCAATTTGCCAAGCATTAACCTTCCACTTGCCTTTAATAACGAATTTTATTTTGCTAACAGATTTGGTCAACTCTCTCCTGTCTCCCGAAACATAATTACACAAAATTTATTGTTTATATATAATAGAAAAAATAGCTATCAAAACTAATTACTCCCCCGTTTCATTTTATGTATTTTGGTTACTAAGATATATTTATTTATTATAATTTTTGAAATATTTTAAATTATTAAATATTGTGAATAATTTTATACTTAATTTTTTGTAAATGTAGAATTTGACATATATATACAACGTAATTTTTTGACGAATAGGGTGTGGGTGGCTCTAGCTACGCCATTGCTCACTAGTTAATAATTTCATGTCATATTTCAAGTTAAATACACCTAAATATATGTATTTTCCTACCATATAACTAAATAGGAAGCGAGGCGAGCGAGAGAAGGTGAGAGGTGAGTGAGATCCCTAGATACATGTGAATCATACTAGATACATGTATCTTGAATTTCAAATACAAAGAGAGAGGAGAGTGCTGAACGAGATAAATGAGAAGCGAGTGAAAAAGTTGGATACATGCGAATCCACTTGAATACAGTGTATCTAGAACAAATTACACATGATTTTGACCCCATGTATCTGGACGCGCCAACCGCCAGATACTTGTACATGAAGTCCAAAATCTAGTGAGATTTGTAATATTACAAATTAGCGTGAATCTAAGTAATTAACTCCTAAACTAGTGAGATTTCTATCTGTTTAATTTTTAATATTTAAAAAAAAAACGAGGATAAGAAGACCCAAGTGGGTCAGAGTTTGACCAGCAGCAGCCAAAATTGGAAATTGGAAATTGGTCAAAAGTGAAAAATGGGATTTAGGGATAGCATATTTAGTTGTTGTGTATAAATTTCATCATCACAATTTGGATTGGTCCAGCTCCATCCACCATAATACCCACTTTTTTGTAATATAAGAACTACAAATGGTTTTATGTAATGAATAACAGACAAACATGATTGGACCATATATTCTCCCTTAACAAAATATTGCAAAGAAAATTTCCAAAATATTACTCTATAGTTCATTTATACTTGTCATCTTTTATTGTTCAGAAGTTAAATTATATAATTACATTATATTAAAAAGAAAAAGAATGCAACTTTTTAGTATTTTTCATATTATTTTTAAATATTTAAATTTAATTAAAATATAGAATTAAATTAATTCAATTTAGCATAAAAAATTAATATACTTGACTCTCGTTAAATAAAATATGTCAAGTAAAAGAAAATGGAGGAAATATATTCTAACGTACTCTCCCCTCCCAATTTATGTGAAAGTGTTATATTTGGGAGTCATATATTTTTCTTTTGATTATAATTATCTCAAAAAATATTTTGAACCATCAGCTATGTTGATTTTTACTACTTTTTGTGTACTTTCTAAATGAAGAAATTTTATTTTAAAATATTTGAAAAATCTATGTATAAATTCATAATCAACATTAAGTATCGGGCATAAGTATTTTGATTTTTATACTCTACACATTTTCACATAAATTGAGACATAATCATATTTTATATTAATGAGATATACAACAAAAATAACAAAAAATTATATGGTTGTATATTGGTAGGTGTTTCTAACTTGCACGCATCTATAAAAATAAGTTAAATTTCTTATCAAAATTAAATAAGTAGCTTAAACACATTTATATCCTTTGACTAGAACTTAATTCCGAATTGATTTGTTGTTTCCAATATGAAACTATTATATAGAGTATTTTAGGAGTGAAATATATAATACAAAATCATACACCTACCAATAGAAAATTACAGCGTATACATTTTAATTGATAAAAATATCTACCAAACTAAACAAAGTGTATTATTATTATTATTATTAGCTTTCCAAATATATTGTTTTATCACTCCGACTTCAAACATTTGATACGCAAAATCGTCCTTTATAGTAAAATATTATAATATTTAACACATTATTGGGATCCATGCTTGTAAATCGTGCAATGAATAATACCTACCAATTTATGTGTGTATTTATATATTAAAAATAAATATACTTGTCAGTTGTCACTATACAATATACCATGAATCATGGACGATCTATAAGACATTATCTTCTTCTTATTATAATTAATTAAATATTGACGGAAGATTTGTTATTTTTATATTGTACATGATTCGTTGTTTTATCTTTTTTTTTGACAAGGGAAAAAGGCAATTTTTTTTTTTTAAATTTTGTAATTTAGAATGGGTATCCCATTTGTTAAAGAGTGATGAATATAAACATCATCATTATCTAACAAATGATTCATATTAAGTTTTTCATTGACTTTAAAAAAATATCTTACCTATTATTTTTTACCATCCATCCTTGACCAGACCCGATCTAAATGAAAAATGCCCAATCCCTCTACTATTCAATCATCACTCCAACGACTTACATTTGGGACACTTATTCGACTAACAAGATCATATTAGGATCGCGAGGTGATAATCAAATAAAAAAGAAATTACATTTTTTTAGTTTTGGTCATCTAGAAGAGTAAAAAATAAGGGTAAAATTATTTTTTAAAATTACGTGATATTTTCCTTTTTTTTTTTTAATTTACGAAATAGTGATTTGTTAACAAAAAGAATATATATATACCCATTTGCTAAACAACGAGATATGAATGCACAATTTATTCGATAACATGGGTAAATGGTTATAGTATACATACGCATTTTATTTTTACAAGGGTATAACCGATCAACCCCCTCTATTTTTATGAGAGAGTAAAAATATGAAAGGAGAAAAGAGCAGAAAAATTTCTTGTGTATTTCATCACTGTACAATATACATATTTATAGGAATACAAAAGGAATCTAGTCCTAACAAACTGCACAGCTGTCCTATGCTAATTTGCTGTAAAATAACAAACTTGTATTTACATTTTGAATAAAAGAAAAACTAATATTTACAAGAAAATATCTAGAAAACTTCCGGAAGAGAGGACAGGTGGCTTGTTTAGATCAAAGGGTTAAAATTGTTTATTTCCACTGTACTCTCTTGTTTTTCTTTTGCTTTGTGTCTGAGATGACTTTCTTCCGTGGTAGAACTTGAGACTCTATTCTTCTTCTATGATGGTGTCGTCTCCAGTGGGTCAAGTTTCATTGTTGGTCCAACATTTTAATTACTTATCCACTTTTGAATTGACATACCTATTAAGAAAACAATGATTAACATAATACGTTTATCATTTAGTCCTTATTAATTACTCCCTCCGTCCCATTTTATATGTCACATTTTTACTTTGTCACTTGCATTAAGAAATGATGTAACTTTACTCTTCTATCCTTATTTAATGTTTTCTTAAGTCATCTTTATTATAAAATGACAAGATTAATTAACTATTCTATCAAGGGTATAATAAGCAAAATATGGTAATTTATGCATAAATTTTATAAAATGACAAGTATTGTGGTTCAACTATTTATAGAAAGGGATGACATATAAAATGAGACGGAGGGAGTATAAAGTAGATGAATTAAAAATTAAAAATTTTCAAGTTCTACATTTTTCAAAATAATTAATTCAAGATATAATA